CACACCCCTCACCTGCGCTGTCTCTGTGAGTCCTTTCCTCTTCACACCCTCCACTCCATCACTCTCTCTATCGCTCTTCTCTGTCTCTCTCTCACCACACACATACACACATTCAGAACCATGTACACACACACACACACACACACACACACACATTCAGAACCATGCACACACACACACACACACACACACACACATTCAGAACCATGCACACACATACATACACACACACACACACACACACACACACACATTCAGAACCATGCACATACACATTTAAATTTGATGTGGTGAAGTAGACTAAGAGCTCAGATCAAGGTTGTCATTTTTCCAACCATCTGGCGACAAAGAAAGGTGAATGGAACATGCTTTTTTTCAAACACCACTTAGCAAATGGAGGAGAGGCAAAAAAGAAAATGAGCAAACAACAGGATGCAGATATATCCAGAAAATTTCTTCAAACTTCAAATAAAAAATGGACCTGACTGCCAAGAAATAATTTTAAGCCTGCAGTTTGTACACACCAGCTATCATTGAGAGCCACGTATCACATTCTACTGAGATATTCATAAGCAATGAGCAAGTTTTGTTTGTCTACAGAGAGGAAATAAAGGGCAGGTCAGGGGGAATGAAACGTCTTTGCTTGTAAGAACAAATTTCCCAACACATCGCGTAACTAGATGGGAAACTAAACTGTCATGAGACATTGCAAGTCTGACAACAGATCAGGTGTGGAGACATTTATAATATATAATATACCTCATTAAATCCTCTTGAGCTCAATAATGCACACGTAAAAGTGTTACACCCGTTTCCTCATAACATAATATAATTATAATATATATCAATCTGCACAGCTCATCTTTGAAACTGCCTGGGAGCTGAGGAATTTTTCATTGACTTGTATCTTAATATAATATCTAGATCTAGATCTAGATCTATAGATAATGATAATGTTCAGTCATAATAATATGGGGCATATAAAGTATATATTTTATACGGGGTGCCCATTGGGGGAATCGGGTCTGGTCGGGGTGATTTGCTAGCCAGATTAAGGGGTCAAAGCGCCTATCGTGGCACAATTAAGCCAATCGCGCCCGACTCATCACCGAAAAAACAAACGTGTCTATAATTGTCAGGACCCGTACGTACATCAGCTGCTCTTGACATTTCCTCCTTGCATAACCATAGATCTACATCTAGATCTAGATAGACTAGATTTTCTAATCTAGATCTAGATCTAGAGACAGCCTAGGTTCTTAAATCTTTGTTTTTGGGGG